TATGTATATTGGTTTGTTCAATAAAATATGTAAAAGATTAGGTCTAAGTAGATAGACTGGAAGGAAATACACTACATCTTGTCTGTGGCTCCTTCTGGGTGGTCTTTATTTTAATTCTAGATGTAGGCTATTTAGTTTTGTCCCTAAGTTTTCTACAATGAAAATGCAGTATATGTTCATAATTAGAATGAAAATTGGAGGTCTGATAAACCGACACGAGAATGCTGCTACACCACTTGGGGGCGGTGTGGACACAGCTGGGTGAAGCCCCCTGCTACGCTCCCAGGAGCTGGCCGCTGCGTCCTGGAGACAGCACCCGGGCATGACACGCACGGAGCTGTGTGGTTCCACCTATGGACACCTCGTCGTGCTTCCTTTTAACCAGCCACGGTGCCCCCGGCCCGCCACCGTCCCCATGCCGGCCGAGCCCTGGGTACCTGTGTGGGAGCCCGAGAGGGAGCTGAGGAGCCGAGAGTGCTGGCTGTGGCCGTCGTGCACCTCCACCACGTCGTTGAGCGCCGTGTGGAAGAAGGCGAACTGGCCGAACACCACTGTGGGGGAGACACGGTGCGGAGATCTCAGCGTGGAAGACCGGGCAGGCACGCTGGGGGCGAGCAGAGGGGACAAGGGGTCTGGGGGCCCCAGGCCAGGAGGAGGGCCCCCCCGGAGGAAGTTGTTGGTTCTCGCACGTTGCGCGCTGAGCCTTTCTACTGGCCGATTTGCACATTGGCAGGCCCCCCGGGCACAGGGAGGCGGGGAGCTGGGAAGGCCTGGGCTGACACATCGAGCGAGGACACCACCCAAAGGTCCGGCCGGTGGAGGTGGCACTGAGCTAACCTAGTTCTTTCCCAGGAATAAGCCCATGAACGGGCTTTCAGTACCATGCCCCATTTGCCGTGTGATCTCAGGACCCCACATTCTCCCTTGCCTTTTCTTCAAAGGTCCAGCAGAACAGGGCAGCCCCTGGATACAGGCTCTCCCACAGCTAAGAGGAACGGGGGTGGCGAGTAGCAGCCTCCTCCCGGGGAGGAGCAACTGTCTCTGGAACAAGCACATAGCTCCCTCTCATCTGCCTCTGGCAAAGCCCAGAGGGAAGAGGGAAAATGACATTTACTAAGCACCTGCTGGGTGCCAGGCACCACGCTTGCTACGTACATCATTTTCTTTGGCCATGACTCTTACAGATATTATCCATATTTTGTAGATAAGAATCCGATGCTCAGAGGTTAAGAGAGTTCCCAAGGGCCACTCAGCTCATGTGGGGCAGGGGGCTGAAAAGCCAGTGGCCACAGCCCTTATGAGTCCCCAATCATACAAGATCTAAGGGCCTGGCCATTTGATGAGTATTCAGGCCACCAGCTATACATTGCAGGGGGTTTCCTCAGCCCTCCCCTCCCTGCCAGTTCCTGCAGCATGGGCTGGGGTCACTCCAGGCCACAGTGGGCACAGCTCCCACTCAGCTACCTGCCAGACCCCAGGTTATTCTGCCTGCACTGGTCTCCCAGTTGGCCTGGTGCATCCGAGGGCAAGAGCCAGGGCAGACCCTTCTCCACTTTGGCTCAGAGCCTTGAGCACGTAGAGGTAGGTTGTACGTATGTATGTATGTTGTATGTGTTGTGTATGTTGTATATGTTATGCATGCTGTGTCGTGTATGCTCACATGTGTGTTGTGTATGTGTTGCATGTGTTGCATGTGCACACACATGCTGTATCATGTGTTACATTATGTGTTGTGTTGCATATTGTGTTGCATATGTCGTGTGTACTCACACGTGTCATGTATGTCCTATATGTTGTATGTTATGTGTACGTATATGTGTTATATGTACCATGCATGTTGTGTGCTGTGTGTATGTAAGTGTTGTGTGTGCTCACATGTGTCATGTATATGATGTGTGTATTGTGT